CCCGGTCCTCCTTAACAGAAGTCTGCAAGGCCCTTGGGTGACACTGCCGCACTGTGCATTTGCTTCGTGCAAGAAGCAGTTGGGGCATCGACGGATACTTGCCACACTCCACAGTCACAGAAAAAGCCCCGTACCTTCCATCTGTTCTCAACTGAACGCCATGCTTCGCTTAGCCATGAGCTCCCAAATGAAAACCTAAACTGGGCGAAACTTGAGCATGTGCCTTCCATCAATGATCTCATCAGGGCAAGTGTGGGAGTTAGACGGAAAATATGTTCGCAGCAGGCGAGCGTGCTACCATGTGCTTCACATGACAAGTGACCAGCTGCAGCATTTCACCAGTTAAGCTGGATGGCACCAAAGAACGAAGAAAAGGCGCGCAGCATCTGCTTATTCTCAAGACAACTCCTGGTCGTTGTCGGGAGTCAGAAGGATTTGCAAGGAAGGGCAAAGATGTATCGCAGGACCATCTGAGGATCGCCCTCCTGGCTTTTGGACAGCTCCTAATTGCGGGTTATTTGGTTTTCAATTCTCCGACCTTTGAGAACTCTCTCAAACGCAAGCTTACGCGAATGTTCAAGATGTGCTTCAAGGGTTCTCTTTGAGAAAGACTCAAAGCATCCGCCCTGTGTGGTGAAATGTTCTCGGACATCTGTTTCCATAAAACTGATCTCGTTGACTGTCCCTTCATCTGTTGACAGTCACAGCTCAGCAATCATTCATCAGAGATCCATGGGTCTGCAACGACTGTGCAGCCTTTTCTTGAAAAGGGAAAATGCAAACAGCAAGCACGCTGCTTTGGCCAATGTAATGTCCTGTTCTGTGACCGAGCTTTTCTGAACTGCGGTCATAGACAGCCCACGCCCTTTTGCTTCATGATGCTTAGCTGTTGCCAGGAAAAGTGGAATGTCCGATGCAGTATATGCAGCACGATTCCCTTAACAACAGGATTGACAAGCACACGTCCGCCGTGCACCTTGAAGCATGCTTAAGATGGCCTGTAGAACGGAATATCTCCGACGACAATGTTGCTGAGCTCGATGGTCATTGACCTGAAGCATCGCAGCTCATGCCACGATCTCCACGGAGTTGGTTTTGGAGCTTGGGTGTGCGCGTCACACCCATCATCTGCCCCAGTGTCTGGCATGCGCGAAATCACGGGCGGCAAGCAAAGGCAGCAATGATCAGCAATGTATCATGCGGCTGGCCCGTACTGGATTGGATCCACGCCAGCTCCCACAGCATGGCCTCAGGATCACGGCAAACAATCAGCATGAAGGGTTTGAAAGCAAAGCACCAAAGATCCAGCATAGCAACAGATTTCTGTGTTGCTGTCATTCAGATCTGCTTAACACGCATGAGGAAATGTTTCTGCCACTTTCACTTTTTCACCGTTCTTGAAGAAGCTCACTGGACTTTGCACTAGACGTTGTCAAGAGTTGCAGAAGAAGCAAGTTCCAGGCTTTTGAGCGAGGCCGCTGCTACCGCCGCGGTTGGATTTATACTTGTCCGTTACAAACAGATCATGTCCAAGGCCATCCTCTCATTTTGCAGCTCTTATCGGCCAGAAAAAGAAATGAACGGCTTCAGGGTTCTGATAAATGCTGGAGCCCACTGGCCTACGTTGGATTCAGTGACATGAGTTTTGGTGGGACAGTGTGGTTGTTTGGGTCACATGAACCAACACAAGGATTTGTGATGCTGGCGGGTAGAAACCAACTGGGCGCGAAGCGCTCACTTTGAAATCACAAATCGCCTTGGCCCCCGGCCATTGCGTACAGGATGTTGCCCAGTCATACTTGCAAAGCCCGCAGCACTGCCACCTAAGCAGTGGACATTTTGATGCATTGACACAACTGAACCAATCGTGCGACCTGCAGGCCGGGCAACCGGCACTCCATACCAGCAACAGTCAGGAAGCGTGGCATGAAGCCTGGCCCAAAAGTCTTCGGCGCGAGAGGGGCCAGGCTGTTCGGACAGGTCGGCATGACGCGTCATCACCAGTCAGCACGATCAGGACTGAGCGCCTGCAAGTCGCAGAAAAAGTGGGCAGTCAGGACAGCACGGACAGGTCAGAACGGATCATGGATGGGCCAACACTCCAACCTGTGGATGATGAGGCAAACAAGCAAGATGACGATGATCAAGCAGACCTGGCCAGCAAGAAATTCCAGCCGGGGCCAATGAAGTCGAAGCATTCTGATCTGAGGACCGGTGATGAGGTACTGTCGAGAAATCAAGATTAGATTGTTATCTCGCAATGTTTCACCATCCGCAGTGCTGATGGCTTAAAAAGCCCGTGCTCCTGTGCTGCACGCGGTGCTACTCCACTGACGAGCACGAACATGCAGCTGAGCGGTCGTCAGCACAAGATCCGTTTTACAATCTGTGTTTCGTCCCAACCTTCCTCATCTTGCCTTCTCCGCGACCCGAAGTCTTGAAGTAGCTCGCGCATGCTCGCACAACAGTGGTCAAAACATCCAGAGAACAAGCCAAGGAGGCCAGCAGCCGCTGAACAAGCTTCATTGGCGAGTATGTCTGCAGGTCCCCGAAGCTTAGCCTTGGTGGTGGCTGGCTGGACGGCTGGACGGGGCCCAAATTTTGGCTCGCTAAGTGCCGCGCAGCCTTCGACTTGCCTCTTCCGGCTTCTTACACATCGCAAACTGGCTCAGCTGGTCCAGGTTCAGGCCCTGCCATTGGAACTTTCAGGCATCTTGGCTTCGGCATGAGCATGAGTTCAATGAAAGCCGGCACCACAGGCTCTGACCCTGCAACTGCTGATTCTGTTGATGCGGAGGCCGCAGCTGCGGCTTGGGCCGGCACCGGCGCAGGGCTTGGCGGCCCTGCACTCGGCGCAGGGCTGGCCACTGCTCCAGCGAACAGAGGCACTGACGCGGGCTGTGGCGTAGGTGCCGGAGCCGGCGCCGGTGGAGCAAATACTCCCAAGAAACTGGAAGCTGTTGGCGCTGCAGTCGCTTCTGTTGGCGCTGCTGTCTGCGCTGCTGCGGGTGCCGCCGCGGGCGCAGCCGCTGGCGCTGCCACTGGCGCTGCCGCAGGCGCAAGTGGGGGTGTTGGCGCTGGTGCTGCCATTGGCGCTGCCGTTGGCGCTGCCGTTGGTGCTGCTGTTGTCGGCTCCTGAGTTCGCGTCAGATGCGTACAACAAACGATCCCAGCTCGCAGTGCTAGACCATCATGATGAAAAGCGCTGCTAGGCTCCTGGACCATCATCGCATTCGCCCTTAGAACTTTTTTCCAGCTTCGTAACGACGTTGAAATCTACGTTTGCATCAACTCTGCAACTGCACAAGTTGTGCATCTTCGGAATGAGGCAAGAACAGCCAATCTGGAACAGTCCCGAGCTCGACATCAGGCTTGTTGTCAAACCTCAATCATGTGCAAAACTGCGCGCCAGGGAGTCTCAGTCCGTCTCAATCCCTGTCGTTCTCCCTGCCACTTTCAGGCAAGAGTGAGAGACGTCTCTTCCGACATGCCTCAAGGTGGAATCTTATACGTGCGGTGATCCTGGTTGTCGAGGAGACATCTGAAGCAGGTCTGCCACGGAACCTCCCCGTTCTAGATTCGTGTGTGACACAGTGGCGAACGCTTAGAGGCTTAGAGGCTGCTTTCGAAGGCAGTCTGTTTTCTGGGTCCCTTGATTGTTAACGCCTGCAGTTGAAGCTGACAGGTAGAGTTCCCTTCAGTGCGCATCCGGGCTGGTGCAATCACCGCGTTCGTCGCTACAGGGGCTCGACATGATGGGAGGGGCCATAACTTTCCCCTAGTCTTTCTTATCTTATTTCAATGCTCGGTGTATTCCAGCACTAGCGGGCGCAGAAAGCAAGAAGACATGAGAGCTTTCGCAATGATGAACCACCACTCATTGAGAAGCAGGCGGATTTCCAGATGCTGGCGCTGGTGCTGCGGGGAGAGTTGGAAACCTCAGCAACAGCTAAGCTGTTGCAATTGCTGTTGCTGCCATATGTTGCCATGGCCATGGACATATTTCGTCATGCAATCGGCTGGGCCAGGCGCCCTCCCAGCATCTGCGCATCTGCAGCCAGAGCCAGGACCTTGGCGAATTTCCGTTTTCTGCATGCAGCTGCATGCAACCTCGCAGCATCTTCGCAGAATGCTTAAGCCTCCTACCAAAAGGCATAGTGTTGAAGGAGCTGCTGGAAAGCCTGCCACCAAAACTTCCTGTGCTTCATGAAAGCTGTTTGAATGTTTAATAGGAATTTACTTGCACAGCTGAGGGTCTCGCCAAGTGAGCGCATCACGTCCTTCTCCACCTGACTACCAAACCTGTCCAGCATGTCAGCCAGCCGAATTCGGCGGATCCCGACTTGAAAATGCGAAATGCTTCAGTGCCGCATCCCAAGTGTTCGCAAGAGTCCGTTCCGCTGGTCATTCAGTCCAGCCTCTCGATTCTGAGATAGGCTCAGCAGCACAGGGGCTCTTCGGCCAGCCACCTTCCTGAAAAAGCAGAGCAGCTCCAAACCCAAACAACCTCTCTAACCTCGGCAGTTTGTGACAAGCGCTGGGCTTGCGGCGGAACGTGGAGACATGCATTTTGGCTGTCTGAGCCAGAGTCGCACAACGAGCATCGCAAACCAAATGGCTTTGAGAAGCGGGAACGCAAGAGACGTATTGCACGTCCATTGTGCGCCAAGAAAGCAAGCACAATCTTCTTGGTCAAGTCGCCATGTCCTCGTATCATGAAACCATTCTTGATAGAACCCGCAGCTCAAAAACTGAATCTGTCCGCACTGGAGCAGTTCTGTGAGCCTTGTCAAAGGATGAAACATGTTTGGTCAGTTTTGTAGCAGGCCCTCTCCAGCACAGGGTAACAACATTTACAGCTAAGAGTGGAAGATTGCATCTGGCACTCTGAGTAGACATCTCTCCGTTCGGCTACTCTCTCCCTGAGAAAGACCGCCAGCATACATCAGCCCGCAGAGCAAGTGGGTTGGCAATATCTAGCCAGCTCAGCGTTCAAAGTTTCACTCTTCAGCACCCATGGTGCTCAAGTATTCCTCAAACTCGTGGCTCCTCTCTGCCCTGGCAAACAGACATGTGTCCTGATGCAACTTTCATTCCTGTTACAATCTCTGAGTGCCAGGCGTCCACCTCTCCTCGGACTCATTGCGGAACTTCGCCTGGGAACCAACAGCACGCCAACTGTGACGAAGAGAACCCCACAGCAGGCGCCAAATTGAAAATGGGGTGCTGCCATGGGACCAGCATGTAGCCAGGCATCTCCATCGGAATCTCGCCCTTTTCTTTCTTGCGCATGATCTCATGCCACCAGGGCCACATGATGTTGGGGTTCCTGAGTTCACGAGCTGGATATTTGACGTGCATATTAGAGAATGAGCAAGGCAAGCATTGCAATGCCGAGGCTCTTGGTACGGTCAATACCGTACCTCAAAATCAAGTCAAACACAGAAAACGACCCCTCGAAATATGTATCAGCTCCTAACTTGAAATGTCTGTACTGAACCTTGCTAGAACCACCATACTGAGGCTCACGCTGCTGATCGGCCAGGAAGCCTCCCAAGTTCACGCTAGCAATGATGCCCCAGATGTATCGAGAGAACCTGAGATACGGTGGTGCACTTCTAACAACCAGACTACTACTGCAGATTGAGGCAAGAACCAGTTGGGGTGAAAGAACCGTTGGTGGCCTCCCATGGCGTCTCGCCTGCACTTGCCAAAGACCAGCACGACAAGACCCAAACCAGTACTACAGCATTTCAACCGAGAAGTCTGCTGTAGATTTTTGGGCTTACATAAAGCGAGCGCAACTAGGTCTAGATGACAAGCGCCCGAAGCTCAGCTAAACAGACACGGCTGCCTGCAGGATCACGGATCCAGGCAGACACGCAGGCGAAGAGGGGAGGACACAGCTGTGCTTGGGCACAAGTATGGCATTGTGCAGAACCTGTTTGAGCGCTGAATCAAACATGGCTGAGCTTTGTTGTGCAGATGGTGACACTGCACACACCAGGGCATTCATCAAGAAAGCACTTCAACTCTTCGGAATGCGAGGAACATCAAACGACCGGTCCCCCTAGGCTTTTGTCGTAGCGACGGCAACATGGTCTGCCCAATACATCAAGCAGCCACTGCGCGGTCAGCAGCATCTGACTCTCATCTTCGGCACAGGATCATTTAGAATGAACGGGCGTTTCCTTGACGTTCAGTTAAGGTTCAAAATGGCAGGTGCCATTTCGATCGAATGCCGCCTTGCGAAGCTTGTCGTGGATGACCTGCAACCATGCATGTCAACAAGGTTCTGAACGAAAGCATGCTCCAAGTATGTTCGCGCATCTTTTTCTATTTCAACGTCCTCAAAGTGCAAGGCTTTGCACATGCATTTTTTGACGAGTCTAAGGCATCTTGGGCTGCCATAAAACGGCTGTTCTTGATCGTCCTGATCCCCTCTCACAGTTTGTCCCCAGGTCTTGATCCATCTGCTCTGCTTCATTCCCGCATCGACATGTGTGGCCAGATGCCTTTTCAAGCCTAGGCACGTCTTAGATGCTGAGGCATGCATCCACTCTCGCAGTCGGAACGAAGAATTCCAACTGCTTCCTGCAACTCAATCAGTACCATGCTTGCTTCGGCTGCTTGCTTTCGGATGTCTTCATGCGAGCAGATGACCAGATGCTCAGCTTGTTGACAGCTGCATGCAGCTGCGGGTACGCCTGAATGGGTCTCAGAGTCTCAGCCGTATCTTGCCGATGTAATTGAGGACACGCGGAGGATGAAACAGCTTGTCGCTCGGTCCATGGACAGGTTGGCGATGCAGGACTAGGATTATCGGACATGCCAAATGCTGCAGACAGTCCAGAGCAGCGAATCACAGCGAGCTACAAGCGCGAACTTGGACTTCGTGAGAGCTGCTTGCGACTGGGTATGGGGCAGAGTGCGTCTTCTGTCTTCGGTTGCTGACGCCCTCGGAGTCGCCGTTTCTCACCGTCCGCACCTGAACAGGCTGCCGTTCAAAGCTCCAGCTCTCAGGACACAGTGCCGCAAAGATGCTGGCAGGGTCACAGGCTGGTACTTGCCAACAGCTCAGTCCACGTCAGGCCTCAGACCAGGCCATGTCTCGACAAAAGCACCCCTTCCAACTTTCAAGCTTAGCGGATACTACGTGCTGGGCATTCGCTCAAAGTCTTAATGATCTCCACTTCAACTTGTGGAGGGTCCTGCATCAGCCCCATACGCAAGGCGTATGCTTCAAGTAGCTCGGATGGGGGTTTACGAGGGATTCCCCCATTTGCAAACAATGAGGAATGATGGGAAATAATGGACAACCATGATAACGAAAGAAAAATGGACAATCATTCATGGAAAGCATGAAATGCGAACAAAAACCGAGAAAAGGACAAAAGCAATGCAACATGATGAACAATACTGAAGCGTGTTCTGAGACTGGTGCAATGTGATGTTACATTTTCAAACAGATGCCGCAATGTGGCAAGAAAAGATGACATGAACAATATGACGAGAGAAGCTCTTGGAAGATGATGAAAGATGATGAAAACTGTTGCAAAGTCATGGGAGATGTAGAAAATGATGGCAAATCATGAAAACCGCTGGAAAGTATGGTATGCTGACATATGACTTAAACATGAACAAAAATGAAAACATGATTAGGAAGTCATTTTCTGGTGAAGCATGATGCAAAACGTTGGCAAACATGATACAACCTGATTCACAGTGATGAAAACGATGAAACATGGTGCAAAATATGATGAACAAGGACAAAGCTTGAATAACGACAAAATGTGATGAAACATGATGAGATATGATGCAAGATGATGAAATATGATTTGGGTCAGCTAAATGCAAATCATGTAAAATGATGGAAACATGATGGAAAGTATGAAGCATGATGGGAAATCATGAAAAGGATGACAACATCATGAAGATGATGCAAAAGACAGGAAGCATGATGAAAGATAATGAAAATGCTGAAAAACATTGATTTGATAAAACTTTGTGAAATGTGATGGAGGTGACTTCCTTTCTTGCTTTCTTTCTTTCTGTGCATCTTTCCCGTTCTTCGTCTTGTACGTGCTATGCTCAGTTTGGTAAAGCACCGTGCGCGGGCTCGGCCCGCGGATCTTTGTCAAAAACGGCGCCCAAAGAGAGAACTTAGTCCGAGTGCGACTGACAAACCCCCATTTTTTCTTCTCCCCCTTCCTACTCCGTACTCACACACGCACATGATCCAAGACATTCGTATACCCCCATATCTCGGGTACCGTCAGGTGTCTCGCTTCCTGCATTGATGTGTTGACACCCGTCAGCTCGGAGAAACGCTCCACTCAAGGGAGAATCACCTTTACTACTCAACACCCGTTATTCCACAGAGAAACCAACTCACGTTCCTCCCTATGACTGCCTTTGCTACACCTGGGTACAGGGTTGTATGATGGAAGTTCGCGGCTAATTTCACTGGATGATCTCCGCATTGAATTTCTTCCCAAGTCTCCTTCTAATACCGGGCCCCAGCACACTGATTGAAACTCTGTTGCTGCACTTCAGACGCTTCTGGAATTGATGCAGTGCACCATGCGCCTTTATGCGCTTTTCTTGACATTAAAAAGTTCCGGGAGCCCCAGAAACTGTTGTCCTCAGTTACCCCCGCTTGCGTGCTAAATTCATGTAACGATCTCCTCGGTTTCTGACATCATATTTGCCTGTTCAGGCCACTCTTGGAAATTACACGGTTTCATTTCGGGTGTCTTTCGATAACTGCAAAATTTGATGCTTTCATCCACACGAACTACAGCAGAAATGCCATACCGCTTCGCTTTGCCTCGCATTTCCTCTCACTTTCAATGCTCAGCCACAAAGATATGGATTTCGTCCATCGCTTGGCCACTGCCTAGATCTCGTCCATCTGCTCCGTTCTAGTCGCCAATTCGCACTCCCTTGCCATGTGATGGGCTCTGCCATCTCCTGTGTCTGCGCAGTGGCTTCCACACATAAAAAGCATCTCCGTGATTTGCCTAGCCATGCACTGCTTTGGTGCAGTTCGCTGATATCTTGATGCTGGCTGGTTTCGAGGGTCTGTCCCTCCCTGTCATGTAGTAGGCGCTGACACTCGATCTGTCATTGCAGTGATGTCCACACCCGTGCTCCGCCCAGCCACGCACTCCTCCGACTTTCTTTAGTCCATCTGTGGTTGCCACCTTCATGCCATTTCCCTCAACAGAAATTCATCTTCGCCCTCTTCAACTCTATGTCGCACCCTGGCTGTCGGAGTCGTCCTACGCCTGGGGCTTACTGTTGGAGCTTTCCCAAATAGAAAAACCTCATATTCTCCTCTCGGCTCTGCCCATAGCAACTTGATTTTTCCTAGAGGGCTCTGAAAGTTTCTCTTCTTGCTTGAGTTTCCCGTTTCCAGTTCTCTTCAACAGGTTCAGGGTTCCTTCCACCTTGTCAGGACTGCTTTCTCCACTGACCTCAATCAATACTTTGTTCTCCGTCGGGGGTGGCTGCACACCTTTTGTCGATGTGGAACCTTTTATGATACTTCTTGCCTTCTCCATTTGGCCTGCTGCGTTTTCTGAAATTGTTGTGTCCTTGCTATTGTCTGCAGCTCTCATCTCTGCGTTGCTTTAAGTGGAGTCTGTCGAGCTGCTGGACGAATAGCAGGTAGTTGTACTCGGTTCCTTGAAGCTTTCATTTTTTGCCAGCGCACGTTTGCAATTTCACTGTTCGCAATTTCACTCTCTCTCTTTCTTTTTTCATTTGGGCTCTGGGGAGACCCAGGTTGGGTCCCCCCGGGCATCCTGCACGGCCCATGTAGGGCTGAACTGTTGGTGAAATAGTCCCCTCACAGAGATAGTGGCTTGGAAAGGAACTAGGACATAGAGGTTTGTGCCACTATTCTCTTACACATGGTAGGAATCACCATTTTTGCCAACTAGTTTGAAACAGGGAAAGAAGACTGTGGCCATAGTCATGAGATGTCATGTGTAGTTGTTTGAGTTGGCTTGTTGTGGGTGAGACTGCATGAGAGAGCTCTCTCCCTTCTTCTTCTTCTTCTCACTGCTATACCCTCCCCCGCTGGGGGGAGAGAGCTCTCTTCTTCTTCTTCTGCGGGCTGAGCCAGCCCCTACGGGCTGACCGGTGCACTGCACCGAGCCCAAGGCTGGTCTTTGTCAGGGTCGGTACCAGCAGTTACCCGGGAGCACAGTTGGATGGTACAGGGAATTCAGAATCAGACCATTATACCACAAAAACAGGTGCACCTTAATCAAGCTGTGCCGCCTTTCCCACATCTGGCTGTGGAGAGAGCTCTTCTTCTTCTTCTTCTCACTGCTCTACCCCTCCCGAAGGAGGGGCTGGGGCAACGCCCCAAGCAGGATGGCAGTCCGGGCACGAAGCGATGGCAGGATCCGATTACTGGCAGTACAATGGCACTCGGAGACAGGCAAATCATCTATAAGCCCAACTCGACTACACTTTGAAAGCGTAATCCCTTGAGCGCCACTATACCGGCTTCATCGCTACTGGCATCTGCTGTGACACCTCCCCTCAGGGCCTGACACTGTGGGCAGGACGAGCTATACAATGAGGGGGTTGCTTTATCCCAGGTCACTCCCCTCGCCCCTTTCCTATAGGATCAACCCTAGTGCCCAGCGTAGCTAGACCAGAAGACTTGCATGTTGTGACCTGTCTGGCTCCTATCCGTTCCGCTGCTGTTGCTCTACTGTCAGCAGCACCAGATTCAAGCGAGCCTTCACTCTCCGAGGACAGCATAAACTAGGGCTGGCCATCACAGCAACAGTCAATACACCAGAGACAATGCATCAAACACTACACCACTGTCCACTACATTGAGCTTGCTGTTGCCCGTTGCCGTTGCGCCTTCGCCTGGTTCCCTTTTGCCAGGCCCGCTCATGGCGCGAAAGCGTCCGAAAAGGCAGGTGGACGAAGACTGCAGTGACGAGTTAGGCTAAAACCGAGAAGCATACATACTCAAAGTTGCTGCTCCCATTCTCCAAGCAATTCTAGCTTCACCGGTGGCAGCTCCCTTTCCAGAACATCCTCCCTCCAAGCAGATCAGAAGGGCTCTCTGCCCACCGTCTTGCTGTTCCTTGGGCCTCCAAGTATCTATTCCTACAAAACCATGCTTGCCTTCTGCAGCGCTCCCATCCCAGTTGCAGGACGTGTCGGCCATGGCTGTGAAGTCAATTTTCTGAACTCCACTGCTTCCCCACAACCAATCAAAGACCTGGAAGATTCAAATGAACATCCCCACAGACAACGGAAAAGTCCAAAGATACAGCGAAGCACCGAGAGTACCCCGGATCCCCCAGGAACAGACAGGGCTCAGCTTCCCCTGAAGTGCACGTCCACCCTCAGCAAAGGCAGGGACCCCCCCAAACCTGTGGTACGGATTGCAGTCAGCATACTCCGCATGCCAAGTGACATAAACTTTTCATGCAGTCCTGCACAACTTCGAGCTCACAGGCCCTGCAGTGATGACCTAAGCACGTTCGCGGAAGGGGCTATGAGCTAACGTCTGCAAAAGTTTGAGAGTCTGACCCCAGCTTCCCAGGAAGTCAACCACCGCCATTGCATTGCCATGCAACGCAAAAACAACACCTGCTGCACCAACACAACTAGCACAAAGCTAGCGAAGTCGGTTGCAGGAGGTCAGGCACAAGCTGCCCGGCGGCCGGCCTGTTGTACCCTTCAACCCATTGGTGCCTGTCCTAGCGGATGTGACACAACTCAGGTGGCCATGACAGCCAGGCGGGAGGCCATGGAGGCCTCAGCCGGACAGCAGCACCCGGACGGACAAGGTCAGAGTCCTCCAATATTCCCAACCTGTCTGGGTCAAGTGCACTTTTTACTCAAATAGAGTTGTCCTTGTCCAGCTCCAGGTCTTCGAGCTCGCTCGCAGTGTAGAGCACATCATGGAATCCTCCAGAGTCCTTGGAGAAGCCATAGCTAAAAGGCAACATCCCGCAAGCAATGCCAAGACCAAGTGTATGCATTCCAAAGTGCCACAGGAAATCGAACACAGACGTTCTCCGCGGTCCCGGAAGGATCCTCCCGAGCCACAGACAACTATTGTAGATTATCGTAGATTCATCCTAAATGCGCCCCTCTGTACACCTCCACCTGCAGAACTGTACCCAAAGTTCCAGGAGGGCCTTCAGAAAATTCAGGCCAGCAGCAGCTCTCGGTCAGTTAATCGGTTAACCGTTTCCTCTGGCAGAAATAGACATCACTGCAGGCTATCTAATTCGCAATGCGCCCTTCGCAAAACTAAATGCTTGGTTGCTGCTTCTTGTTTCCAATTGCCTGAGTGATGCCGCATCCTTGACACTCGCTTGACGCTGCTGGAGATTCTCATCTGGGATGTGGAGCCCCTCCCTTTGATACATGCGCGCTTCTGACGGCCTCACGGCCTTGCGTTTCATTCAGGGGCCGGGACCACAAACAACCCAAGGACCAAAGGGACTGGGCTGCGGCGAAGTGGCATTTACGACTTTGTGGCTTCGCCCGCCTAAGCCACATCACAACCAAACACTGCGTAGTATACCAGCCCAGATTGGCAATTGTTAAAGTCTGGACATGGACATGAGATCAGCGGCACGAGGTCGCCAACATTGAGCCCGAGGCCTCGTTACGTGATTGAAAGCAGCACTGTGCTGTATTCGCACACTTTATCGAGTCTCTGGCTGGAGTCTCCGCCACTGGCACGGCTCTGCAAACTTGCTAAAGGAACTGGGAAGCATTGTCCGTCTGCTCGCAGAACATCAATGGAATGCAGCTGCGCACCTGCAATTGCAGAGCTTCAATGACCCAACCACTACTTGAAGAATGCAAGCATAGCGGCATAGCATCAGCCTGGCTACGTGAGTATTGTGAAAATTCTTCCGTCTGAAACAGAAACCGTCCACGCTTGCAGAAGGGCTAGGACCTTTTCGCGGCTCCTCGAGCGGAGGGCCACAGACCACCCCGGCTTTTTCGATTCCTGTTCCTGGAAGAACTGCATGTCAGACGAAATACAAATCAGACCACACCGCGCATCGTTTTCATGCTGTTGCTGTCCTTGATCTACGTACCAAACCTTGGAGCCCGGTCGCGCCAGCACCCCCAAGGGGGAGGTTCGCACATCTTGAGCCTTCAGGAACTCTGGTGCGTCCTCACCACCTGATGGACCGGGTTGCTGATTTCATGTCAGCTGATTTTGTAACATACACTTCTGACAGCAATGACCGTCAGCAAGCGAGAGCGCGTATGTCACGGCCTGGAAGCACCAGGACCTCCCCGCCCTCCACGGAACGAGTCACTCCCAGCACGGAGATCGGTGAGGCGTGCAACAGACGACCCGGCAGGATGGACTCACCTGTGCAGCAGGCTCAGCAGGATGAGGGGACTTGGTGCAGTTGGGGCTGAAGGCGGCCCTCTGCAACTCCTCAGACTCTCACGTAGCCGTGCAAGCAGCGCCTGCAATGCAGCAGGCAAATTCTGTTGAATTTTTCTCTTGCATATCACTGCTTTGGCTTTTTGACCTAGCACTGCAGCTAGTCTGCGAAGCTTCACGACAACCTGGAAACTCTATTGGCACTCTATCGCTTGGGAACATATCATTTGCTACCTTGCGGTAGATATTCTGTCAAGCTCAAGATCTCGAAGCTCGCGCTGCCATATGCTCGCATCACTTGGCAGGTTTACAGCGTATCAAGCCCACGGCATGACTGCATTCTCCCAGTGACCTGCCAGGAGCTGTTTGCCCGAGGCCTCCGCCTGCTGGGCTGCCTGGGCCGCGCTTCGCACTGCTGCCTCGGCATCATCCAGGCGCCGCCAGAGTCGTGCCACTTCCTGAATCGTGCTTGCTGCCATCTCGCCAAACTGTTGCAAGCATTGAACCGACGGGCTCCTCAGCGAGAGGACCATAGGCACCCCTGACTCTGAGGTCCAGCTCATCCAGCCGGTCTTTACTGCCATTTCGTCCACGCAGCAGCTGGAGGAGCCACTCCTGGCGCATGTCAGGCGCCAACGGATGCAAGAAATGCCTGCACACGCCCGCACCTCTCGAGCAAAGCTCGCTACTAGATGAACATATGCTCCACGACCAGATGACAGCAGGAAGCAGCCAGGTGAGTGCGGTGGCTCAGGAGTCCTGCTCCTCCTTCAGCTCTTGCAACTCTCTTTGCATTTCGCTCCACAGTGTGGGATCCACCGTGCAAAAGCCCTGCGAGCGCATCTGCATGATTCTTGAGATCTTTCACTCAAGCAAGGCGACCTTGGCATTGCCACTTTCTGAGGATTCATCTGCTGTCACCTCAGAGCAAGAAGCTAACACGTCAGATTGCTTGCAAATCTTCTTTCTCCTAGCTGCCACCCAAGCGCTCCCACTCGGCGAATGCGTTGACTTTGCCTTTGGCCCTCCTCGAGGAGGGTCGTGTAGTCGACGTTGTACCTATGAATTACAGGGAGTGCTTCTTGCGGTGGCTTACTCGTCGCGGTCTCCAAGATCGGGGCAAAAAGCCGCTTGCGTTTATCTTAGACCGAACCTCCTTAGCTGCACTCTCCATCTTTTGCTGTGACATAATAAAATGGGCACCATGTTGTACAAACTTGTTTGCAGCACTTTCTTTGGATGAGCTCTGAGTACAAAGCACTTGGGTTCTGGAGCCAGTTCTGGTAGGCCACTTCCTGGGATGAAGCTCAAAGGCTTCCAGTCATGAGACCAGAGTCTTTCTAACTTGCATGCGAGCCACACAATGGATTCTGTTTAGGCAAAGAAAAGCTACTTGGACAGAAGACGGTGATCACGCCGGGCTTCGAGAAGGACGCTGACTTTGGGAGAAAAGCCAAGCCAGCGGTTCTCGCCCTCCTCGAATTCCCAGTATGCCTGGCATCTTGTGCATAGCTGCAAGCGTATGCAAGCGCTTTGCCGCTTCCACCAGCACCTTCACAAGAGTCCGGTTCTGCTCGCTCCGGCGCTGCTGCAAGGCTGCACTGCCACCGCTCCTGGCCGGCGCCGGGCCAGAAGGTGTAAATGCCAGGCAGTAAGGGCAGCTCATGGCTCTGTGAGTGCAAGTGCTCGTCAGCTGCCGCGCGGCGTTTGATCTTCCAATCCACCACATACAGCGCTTGTAACTCATATTCAGGCGGCTCCTTGTAAATCTTCAGGCCACAAGGCACACTACATTGCAGTTGGCCAATGTTTTAGGCTTCAAAAGGCGTTCCCAACAATGATGCCACTGGGTCAAGGCAAGCACTTGCTCTGATTCAAGCGGTACAGTACAAACACCATGCAAGCAGCCTCTTCCCTGGGCTACGACATGTAGGTGTCAGTGATGTCAGAGAGGCTTACCACGCCTACTGTCTGGATGCTGCTCATTGCAGGGCATTCTAGAATTTTGTTTCGCCGACGTGTCTAGGTTCCTGAATGTCCACAACATTGAAGAATTTCAAAGTGCATGGAGCAGGCCACACCGCAAGTGCGTGTGCGCGTGTGTGTGCGCGCGCGCGCGCG